TTTGCCTTCACACTTTCCCAACATTAAGGTCTTTTCCAGGGAGTCTTCTCTTCTTATGAGATGGCCAAAGTACTGGAGCCCCAGCTTCAGGATCTGTCCTTCCAGTGAGCACTCAGGGTTGATTTCCTTCAGAATGGATAGGTTTGTTCTCCTTGCAGTCCAGGGGACTCTCAAGAGCCTCCTCCAGCACCACAATTCAAAAGAATCAATTCTTCAGCAGTTAGCCTTCTTTATGGTCCAGCTCTCACTTCCATACATCGCTACTCGAAAAAACCATAGCTTTGACTATTCGGACTTTTGTTGGCAAGGTGAGGTCTCTGCTTTTTAAGATGCTGTCGAGGTTTGTCATTGCTTTCCTCCCAAGAAGCAAGTTGGCTGTTGTCACCATCTGCAGTGATCATGGAGCCCAAGAAAGTAAAATCTGTCACTTGTATGCATCAGCATACAAATCCCTAAATCCTGTGTGTTTTAAATGTTTTAATGTTTTGAATATTTTGAATTTATTTTGGTGTGTGTGTGTTGGTTTGTGTTTGTGTGTATATCCTTCCAGTTGTTCCTCAACTGATTCTCTCACCCGCCTTAGCCAGATCTTCAAAATGTTACTTTTTAAAAATTACAGCTCTTCCCAAATCCCCAGCCACTCATTTGCTGGGGGTGCATGAGTATTGTAGTCCAAAAATGTCATTTTTCTACCAGCCACATATGCCTGCACTAGATGGAGCATAACCTTCCTCGTGTGGGCATTTGATTATGTTTTTTAAGTGAGCCAAAGTGGAGTGGGGATTTCCAGGGGATGAAAAATTGCCCAATATTCACAAGTACTGCTTTTGACTCTTCGCTGAAGGAATGAGATTCAGGCAAGGAAGGGGGTTTCCCAACATCAGCTCAAAATGTAACTGTCTAATTTTAGAATATAGTGAGCACAGTTTTTAAAAAAGCAATCATTTGGAAGAGGAAAGGGTGTGTAGCATGCATAACAGAAACCAAACACAGGACATGAAATGTATATTATTCACTGCACAAAGGGATGGGAGGGGGACAATATATATGTGAGGAACTGATAAATTCATCATTCCACAGCCTGAACCAATGCAAAAATAAAGTAAACCACAAGGATCTGTGGGCCTATAAATAGAGTGCAACAATAATTCCAAAATTAGCTAAACCAAACAAGTGTATGACAAAATCTTTGTTTAAACTGTAGCTTAACTTCATGGGGAGGGTAAAGAAATACCTTTTGGGTGATACTTTGCTTATTTATTTATTTATTTATTTATTTATTTAGTTAGTTAGTTAGTTAGTTAGTTAGTTAGTTAGTTAGTTAGTTAGTTAGTTAGTTAGTTGTTGCTGTTGTTAAGACCGTATCTTTCCTTCAGAGTCCAGATGAGTGATTCTAACCTGGATCCTACTGTTGGAATTTTTAGTGTGGACAGGAGTTTGAGATACTCAAGGGAGTTGAGCCCCCAGCCAAAGAAAGAGGTTTCTCTACAGCTCCCCTAGATGTTCTGAGGATTAAATCTCAGCTTTCAACACCATGTTACAAGGAGCAGCCAAACCGCAGTAGCCTTTTCCTACCTGGAGCAACTCTCCGAAAAAAGGAATATCCCTCCATCTGTTCACAATACTTATACATGCATGGTAAATTTCCAGAAAGCCAATGAAGGCTGCAAGAAGAACAGAGGTTAAGGTGGAAACAGGTTCCACCGGGTATTGCTAATCCGGCTCTGGGAAACCTTGCACAAAGTTATTATGAGATAAAAGTCCAGAAGGAAAGTGGGAGAAAGTGATTACCTCATAGTAAGAAAAATAAGGAAGAAAACAGGTTCTCCAAGAACCCATCTGTCTGTCTGTCTGTCTGTCTGTCTGTCTGTCTACTATATTGGTCCACAGAGCATAGCACCTTCTGGTCTGTTTACAGCAATAAAATCAACACACTGGGTGGTGTAAAAGCCCCCCACTCAGAAAAATACGGACACGTGTCGGAGAGAATAGTTTGCAAAGGTATCTTTTTTAAAATAACTGTGGGTGTGGGGGTTCTGGGAGTTGTATTCCAAATACAGCCCCCCCCCCCGTCCTGAGGTTTCGAAATGATGGAGGTCTAACATTCTAAGTCCTCTGCAGGCTGGGATATATGGGATTTGTAGTCCCCACCTCCCAAAAAAAGTAACGTTTCTGCACAATAACAGCCTCCCTAAGTCTCCTCAGCGGCAAGTCCCTCTGAGTTCAGGATCCGGAGCCCAGCGGTCCGACCAGGGTCCTTTTCTGGGACTCCAACTCCCAGAATCCCGAACCCGAAATTCCTGGAAGTCGTCGCACAAAGGAAAGGAACGCGTGCAGCAACCTGGAGCCGCCGTGCCAGCGCTGCTCGGCCTCACCTGAACGGCGCGGCCTTACCTGCGCCACAGGTGGTGGGGCCGGCTGCAGCGAAGGGGCCGGAGCCGCCCACCTCTTCCGATGGGGCTGCGGGGTTGGTCCAGAGGCGCGCCTCCCGCCCCACTCCGCGCTGGTCTGAGGCCGGCAGGGCGGGCAGGCGGGCGGGGACGCCCGCCTACCTGAGAGCTCACCTGAGGTGGGAGGGGCCAACTCACACACACACACCTGGGTGGAGTGGAAGAGCAACGGAGGCGCGCCTCCCGTGGTGGCTTTTGACCAGGCGGGACTACTGGGAAAAGAAAGAAAGAAAGAAAGAAAGAAAGAAAGAAAGAAAGAAAGAAAGAAAGAAAGCGAGACCCATCTCCCATCCCCGAGGAGGGACCAAGGGCGCGGAGGCGCCTCCCTGGACGCCCTTGGGAGGAAAGCGCCCCCCCTCCAGTCTTGCGTCTCCTTCTCTTTCCTCTCCGTGGCTCAAGCCATGCTGGCTTCGGCTTCTTACGACGTCCGCCGCGCAGCCTCGCCCGAGGGCGCGACCGGACCCGCGAGCGCCGACGGCCCGTCGTTCCGCAACAAGCCGGACAACACCGCCTTCACCCAGCAGCGCCTGCCGGCCTGGCAGCCGCTGCTCTCGGCGGGCACGGTGCTGCCCCTCTTCTTCTTCCTTGGGGTGGCCTTCCTGGCCGTGGGCCTGGGCCTCCACTTTTCCTCCGAGGGGATCCAGGAGCTGGAGCTGGATTACACCGGCGTGGCCGGCGACAGCTCCGACTGCGGCCGCTGTGCCAACCTGAGCGCCAGCCCTGGGCACAAGAAATGCACCTGCGCGGTGTCCTTTACGCTCTCGGTGGATTTCCCGGCGCCCGTCTGCCTCTACTACCAGCTCTCCAACTACTACCAGAACAACCGGCGGTACAGCATCTCCCGGGACGACGCGCAGCTCAGCGGCAGCACCTGGGCCCTCCGGAACCCCATCCAGGACTGCCAGCCTTACCGGTGGAACGGCAGCGGCTTCCCCATCGCGCCCTGCGGCTCCATCGCCAACAGCCTCTTCAACGACACCTTCGCCCTCTACCGCATGTCGGGCAAAGACGTGGTGGCCAACATCTCCTTGGACCGGAGGGGCATCTCCTGGTGGACCGACAACAACGTCAAATTCCGGAACCCAGAGCCGGTCAACGGGAGCCTGGCGTTGGCCTTCGGAGGCACCGCCAAGCCCCCCTTCTGGCCCGAGCCGGTCTACAACTTGAGCGCCAACGATCCGAACAACACCGGCTTTGTCAACGAGGGCTTCATCGTTTGGATGCGCATCGCGGCCCTGCCCAGTTTCCGCAAACTGTACGCCTGCATTCACCGGGGGAACTCCTCCGTGGCCCTGCCACGGGGCCACTACTCTCTCAACATCACCTACAATTACCCTGTCCTGGCTTTCAGGGGCACCAAGAAGGTCATCTTCAGCACCCTCTCCTGGATGGGCGGCAAGAACTCTTTCTTGGGCATCGCCTACCTGGTCGTCGGTTCCGTCTGCATTGTCACGGGCGTCGTCATGCTGGTTGTGCATCTCAAATATCGACACCTGAACGAGGAAGACTAATGGACCGAGGGTTGAAAGCCGACCGTTTTTCAGGGAGGTGCCCGGGCGAAAAACACCTGATTCTTTCCCCCTGCCAAGAGAAGTGATTAACCTTAGTCCCGTCGCTTAACAAAGATGAATTCTCCTTGGTACAGCTTTTGGGGGCTTGTACAGATGGCTTTAGTTTTAAATCACAGCATGGGCAGTTGTGCGGTGACACCTCTTGTAGTCATGATGTGGAAGATCAAGGATGGCCAGCACTACTGGTCCACCTTTCTGTGGGTTTTGGAGAGAAAGGTGCCCTAAAGGAACCGGTTGTGAATGAAGGATGTGCTTAATTGTTACCTGGCTAACATCTAATACATGGGAGAGAGATCTATCTATCTAGAAATGCTTCCATGGGCAATATTTTAGACCTAGAAAATGTGAATAGATATCTTGTTTTTAGAGAATCCCTACCAAGCTTACCCACCTTGTGGACTGACTCAATTACTTCGGCACGATAAAACCAGCAGTTTTGTGTAGTGATTTATTTCATGGTCCTTCCCTATGGATCTACTGTCAGGTTAATGATTTTATGACCTTGTTTTCTTCTGAAACATGATTATTCTTTTTTAAAAAGTTGTCCTTCATGCAATAGTCTGCAAAACATCCCGTGGTGATTACGGCATGTTTCGCAATGGGTTGGGGCCAGTGTTACTTCTTTAATATTTCATGTCTGATGTTTTGTTGGCCCCCACAAAGGTTTAGGCCTTGGGTTATAGGATGTCAGCTACCTTATTCTTCCACCCGTTGCGTCACTTCGTCTTTTGTGACTGAACTGCGTGTCTCATAATAATTGGCACAGGTGCCACATAACCCCGGAGTGCTGGATTTCTTTGTGACATTCCATCAAGTTTAAAGGCAAGTTTTTCCAGTGTGGGCTCGAAAAAAAAATCTTTCTTAACACTCTGTTTGGCCATTGACACTTCACAAGTTCTCAGTACTTGACATTTCAATAACTCTGAGTCAGGATGTGGACTAGGAAGCGATGTGCATGATCAAAGAGCCAGTCCCCAAACTCACGGACTTGACAGGAAGCCCTAACAACTTCAGTGCCCTCTGAAGATGCCGGCCACAGAGGCTTCAGTGCCCTCTGAAGATGCCCATGGCCACAGAGACTGGCGAAACGTTAGGAAGAACAACCTTCAGAACACAGCCAAGGAGCCCAAAAAACCCACAACAACTTCAGTGCACTTTTCCTTTCTGCATGTGGCAGCCAGACTGCTGACTGGGGATGGTTCCAGGGATCATATAACCTCCCCACCTCTATTACAGCAACTCCACTGGCTACCAGTCTGTTTCTGGGCAAAATTCAAGTGTGGGTTCTAACCTATAAAGTCCTAAACAGAATGGGTCCAAGCTTTCTCAAGGACTGCATCCTTTGTGAGCCTGTGCAAATTCAAGTGCGGTTTCTAACCTATAAAGTCCTAAACAGCATCAAGGACTGCATCCTTTGTGAGCCTGTGCTTAAGATCATCAGGGCAGGCCGTTCTCTCAGTCCTGCCACCTTCCTGGGTGCGTCTGGTGGGGACACAGGAGAGGGGCCTTCTCTGGGGCTGCTCCCAGACTCTGGAACTCCCTGCCACTGGAGGCCAGGCTGGCCCCGTCTTTGCTAGCCTTCGGCCAAGAAGCCAAGAGCTTTCTCTTCAGGCAAGCTTTTCCTGGGTGACTGGCTTCCTGAGTGTGATTTTGAAATGGTGATGGTGGTGCTTTACTGCTTTGAATGTGTTTTTAGTATTGCTTTTGTTAATCATTTCTTAAAGTGGTATTTGTTTTATCCTTTCTAGTGTTTGTTTACATTGCTTTTAGCTTTAGATATGATCTTTTTTAGTGATGTAAGGGTCATGTTTAAAGAGAAAGGCGGAGTAAAATATTTTTAGTAATAATAAAAAGACGAATGTTAGCAAACTGAAAGTAGAGCTCCTTCTGAATTGCCCCCAAACAGACCTGGAATAATTTGCATGAATGCAACCATTCCGTTTCTCTTGAAATCTTTATAACCAGATTTCCCAGTTTTGACTTTTGTTTAAACTTTAAAGCACTAGGCGATGGAGTAATGTTTAACTTGTTTCCAAGAGTGCAGGTGTAACCGGTTTACATGCTGCAAAATAAACAGCAGCTTCTGGAACTGAGATATCATGATAGACGTCTCTTTCATTTGGAGTAGCCACACAAGTAGTTAAGCACACAAACTATTTGCATACAGGATTTCAAGGTCTGGCATGGGGTAGGTTTGGAGATCATTGCGGCTTTCTGTTCAAATGTTGTCCTGCGTTTATCAGAATGATAAATACACTGGGCTGTTTTTTTTTGTTTTTAAAGGAAAGCTGCTTATTTTCAGGATTCAAAAAGCTTTTGGGCAAAAGTTTAACAAATAGCATGATTGAGAGTTCTTGAAATTTTCAAGAATGTTTCGCTGTTTCCAAATTGGTTTTCCCACTCCTGGCTGGATTTTTGAGTGGTGAT